CACCAGCACCAGCACCAGCACCAGCACCAGCACCAGCACCAGCACCAGCACCAGCACCAGCACCAGCACCAACACCATTACTATTCACCAAACGCAGCTGCCATCCAAATATGTTTAGTGATATTTGCCATACATCGTTTAAAACTGAACAAGTCATTTCGAAGCATATATAGATACGGCTACGTTTTCCCCTTCTTTTGTAAATTCTCTAATTGCTGGATTTAACTTGACGTCATTTCGTTTCTTGGGCAGAATGCTCATAAGTTGGATGACAAGTTTTCAATATAATTTTTTTCTTGTTGACAACACATGGTGGTCAGTGTTTGACCACTAGGAGCAGATAATGAGATTCAAAGACTTTATCAGCTGATTGAACCTCAGTAAAAAGGTCGTTTGCATTATTGCTTCATTTTACTACCACTACCAAAATCCTTCGAGAATTTTCTTTCTTATTCAAATTTGAGACAATTGGTGCTAACTAACTGAAGAAAAGAAAGTGTGCAATACGATCTGGTAGTGGTAATAAATAACACCAACATGCAAGTGACTTATTTAACCATAAAAGGGTCAACAATAACTATTTCGTGTTCTGCACTGCATGAGCTTGTCCTCTCTTTAAGCCTCGCAATATCCTATACATGGCTTACATCATATGGTCAGATTAGATAATGTTTCTGGAGGTTTGATTCCAGTGCGTTTTCTATTTCCTCTTGGTTCTTTTTAAGCCAAAGAATACGCTTTTTGATATCATTTTCTACTTGTTCAGAAAGAAGGCGATCTTCATCATCGATATTTTCTATAATTCTTTGATGAAACGTTTGAACCTGAAAAGATAGAGAATTGAACTAATTAAAGTAGTGAAAATAGCAATAAGTGCTGCAGTAGCTCTTAGCAGCGCGAAGCACTTACGGCTATGCTAGAGATTTCGGGCCGAACACAGCTTTCCAGTGACCCATCGTCGAAATTTTTTCATTTTTCCTCTGACGTTGGATATTTTAAAGTACTTTCAAAAAACGAATATGAGACCATGCATTTGAAATATATATATATAATATATAGACATTAGACATGTACATAAAACGGTGATGTGCATGGGCCAAGTCCAAGTGATCGGTTTCGTCATCCACAGGAAAAGGGGACGACAAATTAAAAATGTAGAAGAAATAAAAAAAACTAATGCAGAATCGAATAAATGCTGGCGAGTTGTGTTTAGTTCCATACTGTATTTTATTTGCTACTTCAACCTTGATAATTACATATCAATTTTAGAAAGCTTGGCAAAGATCGCTATTTTGAATTTTAATTATGTTAAATTGGAAGTAGCGCGTTATACAGAAGCGAAATGGATGAATTAAATCCAGCATTTGCATAAATAATTATCATGTACACTAGAAAGGAAACAAGCACCTGGGGATATTAGGTGGTTCAGCTCATAACATGTGACGTGACAGAAATGACGCTAAATTTAAAGTGCTTATAAGCCTTTACACAATATTTTCAGAACTGATTCTTTAAATAATGATTAGTTGATTGTGAAAATAATTCGTCATTTGAATGTTGGGTCTTTGAGATACGAAGGTTTATATTTCCAATATGTTAATGACTATGACKTAACATAAGGGATTTGAGTTATTTTGTGGCAACTTTTAATATTGAACGCCGGACATTTTTTGAAAACAAATTTGTAAGACCCTTGACGTGAGTCACGAGTAAAAGGGTGATGCTTTTAAAATACTGTAWTCCAGAACGAGTGCAGTGTTGTATATTAAATGCTCCCTTACGTTACTTCATAGTCATTACCATATTGAGAATATAAACCTTCGTATCTYAAAGRCCCRACATTMAAATGACGAAWTATTTTCACAATCAACTATTCACTATCTAAAGAATCAATTCTGAAAATATTGTGCAAAGACTTATAAGCACTTTAAGATAAAGAGACAGACCCTACCTCAGCTAATTCATAAGGAGTATTGAAGTTACTGAGAATTTCAGGAACCACTTTGGAATAGAGTGACGTGTTTGTATCATCAAATCTGAGGAAAACATTAAGAGACRAGATAAATAGCTCAATAATATTCTTTCTTCACTGCCCGTCTTGGAAACTGGAATTGGTCGACTTGTGACTACAGCCACTGACAACCAAAGGGACTATACTATTATTCTTGGTTCGACTTCCAAAAAGGTATACCCACTCGGTAGAAATACAAGGCGATACATGCGAGGAGTATACTTGGTAAAACCTAGCTTTCATAGTTGAGGTTGACACTTTGAAAATATTATAATTTTTTGATCCAGATAGTGGAAGGGATTATCAGCAAGTGCGCGGTTTGGGGGCCGAAAAGTCTTTCCTATGATGCCTTTAATATTGTCTTGCGTAAACCTTACGTTCAGGGCAGTTACACTCTATTGCATTCTAAAATTGTCAGTTTAAGTGGAGGCMAAAGTCCTTTTCACCGTTCCCAGCGCCATTTTGAAAGCTAAGCTTACAATGATAGAGACGTGAATAATTGTCCAAGGTGTTAGAAAAGATCTCTATCATTGCAAGCTCACCGTTCGTCTTGTTTCGATGCAAATTCACGGCTACCTTTCAAGATGGCGCAGGGAAGTGTAAAGGGGACTATTGGGTCAATACAATAAATGTATAGAAACTAAACCAATTGCAACAATTGTTTGAATGCAATAGAGTGTAACGCTCATGTCTGATTAGGAAGACAACTTTCTCAAAAATAAGAGTCTATGAAAGTAATAAAATGCTATTTCAGAAGAGCTTCTGCAATAGCCGCGAAATTCTTACCTTTTCACAAAAAGTTCCCAGTGAACACGTACAAAGTTCCAAGCTAGCTGACTACCAATGGGGTTGTATTTACTAATACAGTAGAATATATATTGGATGTCTTCCTCTTCAAATCGTCCAGGTACCAGGGTATACGACAAATATCTACAGGAAATATAACATTATCATAATAGTTTCATTATTGCTTTTCAAAAGTACTGACAAACCTTAAACAGGAAAATTTTACCTTTTACTAATCGATAAAACCATTTAAATTCTTCATTCAAAGTATACAGATAATTTCTCTGGCATAAATTTGAAATAAATTAAAATGGAAAATAACTATCATAAAGCCGCACTAACTTAAGAATATCAAGTTAAACAAAAGTTCGCTGAGAACACGCTCGTCATCCAATTTCCAGCCGAATTTTGCGAACATGCGCAGATCGTCTTTTTATAAAGACCATAACTGAGAACATTAAATCGAAACTCAAATGACGCCTTGATTAATGATAAATTGACATTCAAAATGTAAAGGATATCCTTAGGATAGTCACCCCTTAAATTGAAATCATTTAGAATATCAATAACTCACCGGTCTATGACCCATGCCTCTCTTGATGCAGATAAGCCGACCAAGATTGTCCTTTTATTCGCCTCGTTTTGTGTTTTGTTGTACTGGTCGTAAAGAAAGTTCCATTCCTTTACCCCACCACGAGCAATACCATGGTAGAAGGTAAGTTCACGAAGGTTTGGTGGAATGCTGAATAAGATCGACGTAAAATTAATTTATTTTTGTTGTCCTGTACTCAATGTCTCTTTTGTTGTTGGTCGTAATATGTAACCCAGTTTAATTTATGAAGCAAAGTTACATAACAAAACACACGTACACATGTCATGTTAGCGGTGATCATTTAAAAGAGAAACTCAAAACTCAAGCAAAAGTCATAATAGAAAGACTTCAAACCACGTGTCATTCCTGTGAAACCATTAAACAAAGGAGTGATACTCCAGGATATAATGCGTGATCTGAATTGGGAAATCATTACGTCCCAATTGGATGTTGACAAAACATCTAATTCTCGAATTTGCTTGAGTGATCGCGAAACAATGGCCTCAAGTCGAGGTTTAACTTCATGTTTTCATACATGTTCTGTATCTTACCAGATTCAACCTCGACCTGGAACCATTATTTCGTGGTCACTTAAGCGAATTCGGTCTATCGGTGCGTACAAGGCTTTTGGTGACAGCTATTTTCAATTTTTAGGACTGTCACACGTAGTGTGAAATGGTTCTATATTTTAATTAAGGAAAGCGATCCACTATAGCTAGTTCAGTGTAAAGTTTTCGCAAAGGATGCACAAAGTGGCTGCCTGCGTATCACACTCACAGTGCATTGCATTTCTCATGGCTGCATAAAATGTTGCCGACAACACTGCACCTTGTTTTTTAGCCTTAAATATGTCGTTTAAAATCACAAGTGACCATGGAAACAAGCAATATACCTAATTACCTTCGTATGTAAATTACTTATTTCAAAGCATGTGATGTTTGTATGGTATCCTCAAGAGTAATGTTTCTTTCAATTTTTTTCATATCCACATGAATATGAACGAATAAATTTTGAGAATCATAGAGGAACAATTCTCTAGAGACTGATCATGTAAACATCACATAATTAGGTGTATAATTAGCATGTCCTTTATTTTTCCTTAATAGAGAATTTACACACGTGATCACAAGGCAGCCATATTGGTGTACCAAACAATAGAAACTTTCTGCAGAGTTTTTTCTATGAAAATAAAGTTCAATTCCCCGAGGATAGAAAATATTGTTTCGGTACACTAAGATAAAAACGCAACTAACCTATTAGCTTTTGGATTCCTCATCCACGCCTGAAATAGTTGGGTGACGTTGTCGACACATGACTCGTACTGAGCTTCACAGAAAAGACGCAGTAATTCGAACCGCATTGCCCTGGAATGTAGTTCAAAAGTATAAATAAAACTTACAGCATTATAGGAACACTTTCATGATAACGCAGCCCACATGTACACAGTTCCAGAAGTCTGCTTTTAATTAATCAAATTGACAGTACTTTGAGTAAGTAAAAGGAGACAAAACTACATAGATATTGATGGTTTTCACGGCGGCCATGTTGGAGGAACTTAACAAAAGAATTGTCAATGAATTCTTTTGTTATATCCTCCAACATGGCCGCCGTGTCTTTTGTTATTTAATTATCTTGGAAATGGTTGAAAACCATCAATTGGGCTGTACTGGTCGCGTAATTATGAAGAATTATCGAAATAAATTTACTTTTTAYGTATTCGCTTGAATATAACTCCATCATTCAATTAATCTAAAAATTTGCTAATAAAAGAAATGGGTAACAATAAGGATTTGAAGTTTACAAACTATCAGTTGCAATAATTAAAACATTAAGACTACAAATGACTTACAAATCCAAACACACCTTGAGTTAGCTAGCTTTAATATGTTAATTTTAGCTATATTGATTTTCAAGATACAAAATAGTTTGCATTGATTTTAAAACATATTAATGATATGTAACTATGAAGCTAGGTAACTCAAGCTTACTTGTCAATGGCTCCACCAGTGTCTTCGATCCCAAGTCTATCGTAATGGTTTTTCCCAAGATATACGAGATATTTCTAAAGCAAAGAAGAAAACTATGGTTTTCATATCATCGTATCATTACTTATCTCATCAACTAGATAATGCAGTTTTTTGCTTCCAAAGACTGTTGGAAAATGGAAAATATTAGAAAATGTTTGAATACGCCTCAAAGATAAGCAAACTTTTATAAATTCTATTATTTAACATAAAATTAAATTCAAACCTTATATTATTCAAACCAGGGGCGGCGGAAGCGGGGGGGCCGGGGGGGCACTGGCCCCCCCACTAGATTTTTTTGGGGGGCCTGGCCCCCCMRRAWWWWAWKSC